GCTGAAGAGTTGGGTGACTGTGTGTAGAGGGAAAAGGACAAGGGACAGTTGGTCTATGGTTATGTTTGTATAGCAGTTGTAATGTGCAGAGATAGCTAGGCTATCCCAGGCACTGGAAGATGCTTTGTGTTCAGAATTAGCTTGAATATCAGTACAACTGCACTGTGCTGTGTGGATATGCTCAGTGTGACAGTCTTCTCGAAGTGGTAAACTCTTCAGGTAATTTGGGCCAGAATTCGTATCTGGTTTAGTATGAAAACATCGACAGTTTATAATTTGTGCCATCTGTTCCTTGTCCTAAACCCTTTTAACTAGTCCTGCTAATTTGATGATGAGGTAAGAAATACAACTGGGGGACCAACAGGGCTTGTAGCCTTGTCCCTCCTGCAGGAGGGTGAACTGGATGTGCTCTAAGCATTCGGTAGGTTTTGAATCACAACATCGACTGCTTTGTATTCTCTCAGAATTCAGAGATCAATGTGAGGTTCTTTGCCCCTAATCCAGGCCCTGTTCATCATTATCACCATCTCAAAGTGGCCAGTGCTTTGTTATCAGGAGAGGCAAAATCTTACAAGGTGGCCATAATCTCCTCTGAGAGTCAGACAGATATTCTCCCGTGGGTAAGAAAGTGACAGTGACCGAAAGCTCTAGGGGGAAGCAGGCTAGAACAAAGCTGTCCATTGCATCCTTTCATCAAACTGTTAATCTTTCTTTCAAAGACATCACATTTGTTTGGTGACAAAAGCCCCAAAGAAGCTGAATTGAGCCTGAAATCCTGTAGCAAGATTTAGAGGAAGCGTCTTTCATTCAGAGCAGGGAGGGGCGAGAGACTCCTTCTTTTTCTTCCTACCAACCAATGGGCTCACAGAAGCCCACGAAGGTGACGGATTAATGCAGGGGCTCCCCAGGTAGATGCTACGTGACTCCTGGCACGCTCCAAAAACGTTTCCACAGCGACCAGCTGAACAAGAAATATGGAGTGTGACGAGATCCAGTATAAACTTGTGCTTTGGAAGGAGGGTGCTTTGCTACTCTGAGAGATTTCTAAATTTACTACAGAAGACCCAAAAGACACGATGATCTATATTGTAGTTGTTAGAATTCAAATAGCAGAGATTTTAATCAGTTTTCCCTATTCCTTTTAAGTTTTGATTGCATATTGTCTTGCTGCTTCCTCTAGTGCACAGCCCCATTCCAAATCTTTGTTCTGGATGCTTTCTGTGCAAAGTCTGTATATTTTTCTTAATAAAAAATAAAATAAAAAAAGGTAAAAGGGATTCTAGCTCTATTCCAATTATTAGGTGGATTTAGGACTAAAGGGCAAACTAACTGGACTATAAGGGAGGCTGTAATTTGATGTGTATTAGTTCTGTGCTAGCTTTTTCAGTCCTTCCCATCCTCTGCTGCTCATTTATGTCTGTGTATTGTCCCTTCTTTTGTGTTGGCATTGCTGGCTGTGCAGCCAGATTCCAGCTGGAAAAATAACTTTATTTTTGGCTAGACTATTTTTCAGCCAGATCATTTCCCTGACCTGGTTCACTGAGCAGTAAATTAAATAAACACTTTTGTGGTCTCTATGATGGAAGAGTGATGAGGGAAGGAATAAGGGTTTGGGGGCAGAGGCTGCTTCAACTGGATTAAGCAGCACTGTTGTCAGATGTCTAAGTATGGCCTGGATTCGACCCAGTACTCGGAGGCACCTGAATACTGTCCATCTGCGACAACATTGCAATCCCTGAGTCTTCCTTGTCAGCAGGAAGCAGGTATTTTGTGGGTAAATGTAAGGCCCAAGCCTGTCTTCATCGATTGTGCTGCAGAGATGTCCCCAGTGGGAGAGGATAATGGAGAGGAAAAGCCTCTGAAGAAAGATCATTTTACTTTGAGGTTTGGGCATGGTTGTATTTGTGTGTCAAAGACATGGCAGGCATTAGGACCATGCAAGAGCCGCCTAGCAGCATCTGACTGTTTGTAAGCTGTGCTTTCCTGGCTCTGGAGGCTTTTTAAAATAGTACTGAACCTGCAACCAGTCTGTGTTTTCATTTAATTATTATTAAATAGTTATATGGGGAATTGGAAATATTGACAGCAGTGTTAACATATGGGGTGCAGGTGGTGTGTCAAGCAAATGCAATAGATTTAGTTTGAAGCCAGTAAGTGGCATGAAGGAGTTTGAGCCCCACATTGGAGTGTTTGGATGTGTCCTTATGGCTGGTAGGCTGTGCGTGAAATGTCCGTGTGGTGAAATTTGTTGAGAGCCAGGGCGCAGTAACCTTTCCTTACAGCTGCTCTGCTTTGCAATTTGTCTTTGTTCCCTACAGACAGCAAATTAGAAGTAGGAAGCTCTTCCTGGTGTAGGATTTTCTGTTGGAGGGAAATGGAAGCTAAATCCCATGGGTGTAGTGTAGCATTGTCAGAGCTAAGTGCTTGGGGTCACACAGCCTAGCAGCGGCTACTATCGCAAAGGGAAACGGCCTCTCTCTGGGTGTTATTATTTGTCCTATAACTCTGTACTTCACTCTCACTCAGGACTGCAGCAAGATATGTTATAACCTGCGCTTGTGGCAACATATTGTGTTAATGGTAAGTGCAACCATGCTGTAGCTGCTTTTCCCTCGAGAGGCTTCCTCCTTTGAAGAGGAATTGAGAATGTCACTTTTATGACCCACTGTGAGCTTTTGCAACATGGAGCCTCTCTATCGGGCTGTCTGACTCTTAAAGCTCTTTCTTCCCAAGCTTGCACTGAAATGAGGCATTACTGAATCACCTCCAAAGCAGCAATGTTACGAGAGGTCATACTGAAAGTGGACTAGTTATGGCAGGAAAGTTCTTCTGCAAACAGCCCTCTTAAAAGGCTTTTGTTTAAAAGCTAATGTCTCATGCATCCTATTGCCTCTGTGAATTACAAGATTCAGACCGTAGCTGAGACAGACATGGGGGATGAGACCGGGATTTCTGTTGGCGACTGGAAAGGAAGAAGAAGCTGAGAAGGAGGTTGACTTTTGAAATTCAGCCCTGGTGTCCTGGCAGCTGTTGAAGGGCCATAAAAAAAGGCAGTGGTTTAATGCTGGGTGAGCATCAGGATCTTCAAAGCACTTTCTTGTTTGGGAAAGATGTAAGGAACTCCTCAGAATTCCTGCCTGTGTTTGAAGGGGTGGAGGCTGCAGCCTGATCCAAAGAGGGAATAGGAAGCTCCAGATCTTCATCCAGCGGATACTTTTCCCATGCTCTTTCCTCCCACACAGCAGCTCCCTCCCTTCCCTTCTGGAGCAGCAACAGGCAATAGTTTCAGCACAGACAGTGCTTGGCTTCCTTAGGTTTGCTGGGTGCAGCTTAAGAATTAACTTGCTCTTTTAAAAAAATGTATTTTGAAGAATGGAAACCTCACCAGAGCGGTGTTACTGTGAGAATTCTCTAGTGTGAGAGCAATGACCTCCAGTTCCCTGTACCTCCGTGAGCTCTGCATGATGAGTGAAGTAGATCTGCTGCCTGATTTAGTGACAGGCTACAGCTCACACAGATGCATGTTAAAATCAGTATTTAATTCTTGGAAAGTCAGCTTTTATTTGCTGTCTCTTAGTTCTAGTTGTATTCCCTCCAATGCAAATAATAATAATTTAAATATTTTTTCCTGCCAAGTTTTATCTAGCAGTCTTACAGACTGATGCTCTGAGCTTCGCAGCCTCCCAGTAAAAGACATGTTGTTTGATACAGGGACTGCCATCGGATATTCCGAGCAAATGTTAGAAAGGATTTGAACCCAGCATCCTGCTTCTGCATTTTTATAGACATACAGACCTGCACCTACCTAACAATGATTTTACTCCAAAGAACCATTTATAATACCAGGGAAATTTAAAAGTAAAAAAAAAAAGTAAAAAAAAAATAACAATAAAGGATAAAACCATTTAATTTTCTTAATTCTCCTCATCCCTTTTTTTATTGTATTATTAAATGTATTACTAAGGCTTTCTCTTGAAGGAGTCAAGAAGGCATATGCATGTTAAGTTATTATTTCATGCTGTTCATTAGCTACTGATTAACGTAAATTTAGAGTGATTTATGACATCATTATTTCAAACTCCTACAAGACAGGTGGGCCTGAAAAAAAACATCTTGTTTGAAGATTGTGACGTTTGAGCTGTGATGGGAGAGAATACAGTTGTCTTGGATCTTTCAAGGAGAACAACTTTCTCCATGTCTCATGAGGTCAAATATTGTTTTCTGGACCATTTCCTCAAATACTGCTAACATGGTGAGGTATGGAAAAAAAATAAGTACTGAGATAATGGGCTCTAATTTCTTCCTTTGAAGAAAAGGACCAAAATAAGCAGATAGGTTCAGAACTTTAATGTGATGTCTTCTTAGAAGGCAGATACCAGCACAGTGTGTCAATGGCAGTTTCTGAATGGGCTTTGTGTGTTGCAAAAGTCCAGTCTGGAAAAGGATACTGAATAAATCACCTTTGATAGCTGCGTTAGAAAAATGTCGCCAGTGATCTGGTTAGTAAGAGATGGAAGGTGGCACTGCTGCTGCTGTTTCCTACTCTACAGAATTTATTCTACAGAATTCCTGTTCTACAGAATAAAGAGCAGCTCTATGACTAATCATCATTCTGGCTGAAAACAGGATCTGAATTAAAATGACATTACAGTTAGAGGCAGTTTCTTACAATGTTTTCCTGTCCTCAACCTATGTTGTGTGGGTCCAGTTGGGATTGCCCTGAAGTAATCTGCTTGATTTGTTCAGGTCCTCATTTCACAGGAAGACTTATGCAGCATCAGCAAAACTTTATTTTGTCCATATTTGCACAGAACTAGATGCAGAATCAAGGATCAGAGAAGAGCTGGAAAGTGTAACACCTTAATATTCCCCAAAGGTCTCACATTTATGAAATTACAAATTTACGCCTTTTGAGAGTTTGCAGCTTGGACAGATGGTTCAGAGATCTAGCATAAAAGTGAATGGAGCTGTCTTCAATTATATCTGTCCATTTTTGCCAGGTGTGAAGGTGCACGGGAAGTTCCTTTGATCAGCAGAGTTAACTGCTGATGAATACTCCACAGAGATTGATAAACCTGTGACACTGGGTAAATATTCTGAGAAGATCATGGATCAATGTACTGTATCGCCCCAGAGCATATATATAGGGATTTAATCAAACTGAACTTGATTCACTCTACCTTCTCTGTGAATTCGTCCAACAAAAAGAAGTCTGAATCCAGATACAGTTCCTGAGAGCATTAATACCCCTGCGTTTTCTCTCACCTTCCCCGCTTGTCATGCTCCAGGCATTTCTTTGTGTATACAAAAGCTATCACATGTACCCAGGCTGCTGCGTGTGTCCAGTATGTTGGGATGTGTTAGCAAACTAGATAATCCCTAAAGGCTTTCACCACCCAGCAAGGCAAGGCACAGTCCTATTCTTGGCAGACTTGCTTCTCAGAGGACTGGTCCTAAATCAAAGACAAAGTTCCTCAGTCCATTATCTTTTTGTCAGAGAAACTCTTCCAAAAGCTTACAGTCCCCTCTGCAAACCAATGTGTAAAGCTTCAGCAAGAACCACCAGTATTTGGATGAAGGACTTGCAGATCATTTCTGCAAGTTCAAGCTGCAAGAACCCTGCACTGAAAGCAAAGTCAGTTCAGTGTTCAAAGGAGAAATAGGAAAAAAGTTATTTGTCACAATTATATTCAGACCTATTTGCTTGCCACTTGTCGCTCAACACCCCTAGGCATAGTCTAGCTACTGCCACTAGCAAATGCTGAAAACTTGTAGAGGCAAAGTTCAAGAAACTGTTTGAAAGCTTGTCAGCAGATGGCCGAGTGCATCAGCCACTGCATGATAAGCCTTGTAGTAAAGTGTTCTTCATCTGGGTTTCCATGCTATCCAAGTAGTGAAGTTTCTTAAGGACACAAAGATTTTGTTGGAAACATAGTCAACCAGTCAGAATTTGTAATCCCAGTGGCTGAACCATAATATGTTTTTACTCTGGGTATGACAAATATCCAGTCCAGTTTGTGTCTGCATGAGTGGCGCTGGAAGGACTGCATGGGAGACTGGGGTTGCCTTGTATGTGAAACCACTGCTTGTGAAGACACTAGCTCATGTTTTAATTAGGACCTGTGCAAAGAATGTCACAGTGCAAGGAAATTGAAAAGATGGTACACACCTGAACTCACCATGCCCTATGTTAAATAGTGCTTTACTTTGCTGTGGTCCCAGCTGTTAGTCTGTAGTGGAAACATGGAGCTGAGTGAGTCAGAAGTAAGCTTTCCAGTGCAGAAATCTCCTGAGTCTTGAAAGGCTGTGAATGTGTCTTTTGTACTTCTATCCTGCAGCCAGAGTCAGTTTGTCAGGAAGTTCAGTGACTGTCATGGAAGGTAGGCGTTCCGTGTTTGCACATAACTGAAGAGGGTACTTTGAAAGCAGATGAAAGATGACGTAGGACTTATGTTGTGCATATTATGATATAACAAACCTGTGGAACCTGCTGCTGAAGGAGACAGGAAACAATGGTGTCCAAGAAACCTTTGAAAAGTACAGAAATACAGAGAGAAGAGATAGGTAACAGGTGAGCAGCACAACTTGTGACACCTGGTTTTACAGGGCTTTGAATTCTGTTGTTCCTTTCTGATTCTGCAGCTACCATATACATGTTCCTTTAACTTCCTTCCTCCCTTAAGCCCGCAACTACTGTAGTTTGCCATGAAGTGTGTATGAGACTATATCTACTGTGAGTGAGCGTGCAAGAGCCCAGAGCTACACAAACACTGATTGCCCAGTGAGCTGCTGCCTCTCGACTGCCAGGCAAGCCAAACAGCCTGGGCTTCCTTGCAGCTGCTGGCAGGCCAAATAGCTTCAGGAGCTGCAGTCAACCCTTAGGCCATGTCCTGCGGAGAGCTGTTGTAGGAACTTGTGGTGTTAAAGCCCTTCAGCCCTTTGTTGGATGTGACTAAAATTGGCCAAGAGTCAGAAGTTAGTGGGAGGGGAAGGACTGGCAGCTGACAGCAATCACAGAAGCCCTTCCCCAGGCTAACCATGACATGAATAAGCATGAGTCACAGCATAAATTGATGAGCCTAAAATTATCTACAAGGATAAATACTGTCTAACTGGCCCTACACATTATAGGCTTTCTGCTTATTCTGGAATTGGCAGATTTTGTCTGTGGGTGCAGATATCCTGACCGCTTGACTCCAGTCCAGTAGCCTGACAGCTCCAACTGCATTTTTTTTTTTTTTTTTTTTTTTTTGGGGCCTGATGCTTTTGCTTTTAGACAGAGATTCAGCAGGAACCTTTTTACCTACATTGTAGCCTCCAGGCATTACTGATTTGGCACTGAAGCTGGTATTTTCTTCTCCTGGCAGCTCCTTGCTGCCCGGCATTGAATCCAAGCTGATGCTCCAGCCCCCTCCCCTCCAGCATTGTTCCCAGGCTGTCGTGTCAGATGCAAACCAAATAGTTAGTGGCCCAGAGCTCCTTGCATCCAGGAGAAATTGCATTTTCACACTGGCTCTGAACCTCTTCTGCAGAGCCAAAGCAAAATTAATGCAGAAACTAGTCCCTTTGCCCCTACCACGCACATCCTCTTCAATGGTGGAGCCAAGAAAGACTGAAGAGAATTAACCTTTTCTGTAAATTTCTCTGAGATATGAAATACCTCGCTTTCCACTTTCTCCTCATCTCTTTGCCAGTCACTGCATCAGGGAAACCAGTCTTCCCTGGAGCAGGAAAGCGCCTTCTTCCTCTTCCCACTACTAATGCTACAAGTTTATTTTAAGAAGAAATTTCATACCTATGAACGATTGCTATAGCTAGTCTTGGCTCTCTATAGCTGTTAGCTAGACCAAGTAGGTGGTAAGAGCTTGTTAGAGTAACTGCTGCCCACTCAGAAGCAGCCAAGAATAGCTGCAGCCTCTCCTAGGGATCAAGTATGCAAGTCTGGAGCTCCGGGGGTCCCTTCCTGTGACGCATATGACATTACTATCATAGCCATGGGAATATGCTACTGTGTGAACATAGACCCAGGCATCTGGAAATGAGGGCAGCCTGTAATGCTGAACTGATAAAAGAAAAAAGGGCATGAAGGTTTCTGGTCTCCCCGACTTCCCTCTTTTCAGGCGTCACAAACTCCAGCGCAGCCTTGTGTGCTGTTAACTGGTCAGGCAGAACCCACTGCAGTCCTTCTCCCAGCTTAGGGACAGCTTGCTCCGGGAATGCTGCCTCTCTCCTTTCCAGTGACTCATGAGCACATTCTCACACAGGCTCCTGGACTGTCCAGCTAGAGAAGGGAGGCACTGTGGTGGTGCTGCGGAGCCTGCTGTGGCTGGGACTGACCTTCTACCATGTCCCCATGACCAAGCAATATGGCTACAGCTACTTTGGCACTGGTGAGAGGAACTTAGATCTGCCCTTCATGATGTGACTCTCCTGTCTGGGAGAAAGACTTGAGAACATACAGATTTTATGCTTAGGAGATTTTTGTTTACTGCTTGTTCCAATAAATGTGTGAAACCTCTGCACTTTGAGTAGGATTCCTTTGTGCCTGGCCCTGATTCTTTTCTTAGGATTTCACTGTGTGCAAACCTCCCTCAACTCCAGATTGAACTCCCTGTGTCACTGCAGATCCTTTAGATAGTAACAAATGGTATTTTCTTCCATGATGGGCAAAGCCCTAGGTCAGAAATCAAACCTTGGCCATCTGTCTGATTACAAAGACACCATGCTTACACAAAAACTAATATGGAGACAACATGAATGAATGCCTGCTGTCACCCATGAATGACAAACAAAACCAGAGTTGGAGTCAGAGTAGAAAGCTGATGCGTACTATACGGGATCTGTACTAAACCCTGAACTCTAGAAAGGCATATTAAAGAAAGGAGAGTATTTTTTTCGGATGTCAAAATTAGAGGGGTCTTTCCAGCTCATGGCACTAAACTGTAGAAAAAAATTAGCTGTGGGCATCACCCAGTCTTTTGAAAAATATGTTCATCCAGGTTCATCTCAAGGCAAGGTTTAATCCAGTGACTTTTCCACTAGTAAAGCTCACTGAGCAGAGCTACCTGGGCTAGAAGACATAGTAAATCCTGTATGTAGGAAAAGAAAGAAAAATATTTTCCTTTCTGAAGGGCTGTTGGTTTCAAAGTTTCATAAAATAGAGATGGTCAGCCAGAGATTTTATCTTAGTTAATGAAATCTTGGCTCTGTCTCCCAAATCAAAAAGATCTTGGCCAGCTCAAGGGGCTGAATGTAGAGCTTCCATTTTACAAAGTAAGGCTAAAAAGAACCATTATAATCTAATTTAATTTCCTGGGTAATACAGGTTTAGTCTTATCCTTTGTTCCTGGTCTATGCTGATAGGTATTAGCAGATGATTCGGATGAAAGCAATACAAGGTTAAGTGGCACAGTAGTACATAAAAAAAGCTGTGTTGATTTGTAGCCCCCAGATAAATATCAAAGAAATGGAGCCAAAGCAATATCGACCCTGATAAATTTAATGAGCCTTTCATACCAGGCCCATAAGTAGCACTTCTCAAGTAGTAGTGGTCAGTAGGTGGAAGGTGCATACCTGTGCTGTACAGGGAGAGAAATGGTGGCAGCTTTTAGTTACAGGATGGAAAATTATGCACATCTATCAACCCTGATCTATCCCTCGAAGCAGCCATATCAATGACATGGAAGACTTATGGCAAACCTATTTGCAAGAGTCAAAAATCAGGCCAAGTCATCAAGGTTGTCAACATTTTGTATTTGGTAGATCCAGGAGTGAAGCACAAGCCAAGAATCCTTAAGGGGACAGGTAAGATGCAACATGCCTGTCTGCCACTGCCACAGGTGTTCTGCTGAAAATTACAGATAGTACAGATTATGAAAAGAATTAATTTAATTAACAATTTTGTTAGTGCCAAGGAAACATACTGCTGCAGGAGACCTTTTTTGCCATCAGTCACAGGTACAAAAGCCCAAATGAGGCAAATCTGAGTTGAAACACACATTAATGTGGAATCACCATTCATTGCTGGAAAAAGAAGGAAACATCCTTTTCCAAATCCAGTTGTGGACTATAATGAAAGAAAAGCCTTCAGATCATTTCTGGCTTAGAGGTAGAAGTCTTTGTCCCCTGCTTTATCCAAATCATTCTGCACATTGAACTTTGCTTTGCTGAATCTTGTATTCTCCCCACAGCTCATTCACTGGAGACAATATAGAGTACTAATGACAGTTTTGGAATAAGAAAATTGAAGATACTGACAAACTTGCAGAAAAAAAGCAGAACAGTGGAAAACAGCCGTGCTTATTGACTCTGCCAGTTCTGGCCACTAGTGGTTTAAACAGAGAGGCTTGCTTGTATATTTGACATTATCCTTCAGCAAAGGGTGTCCGACTGGCATTAATTTTTTGCACCACTTAGGGCCCCTCTTCCAGATGGGCTTTGCAGATCTGACAGACCAGCGGGTCAGATACCTGTCAAAACAACACAAACACATTTCAGTTTGAGACTGATCACCGAGAGGTTCTGACTGAAGCAGGAGCTGGCACTGTGGCCTTTGCGCCCCACATGCCTCTTCATAAAAGGAATAACCATGAGCAGAGCTCCCTCAATTCAGAAGGGACCACTGGAAAGGAATTTTTGTTTGTTTTGGAACTTCTAAGATGCACCTCTGTACCGAACCCGCTGGCACCTGCTTGACTTCCAGTTTCACAAAACAAATCAGGTGTAGTCTCCAAGCTGCTGGCAAGTTGTCCACCTGTAGCTAAACTGGAGCATCAAATCTCTTCATTGAAACTAAGTCCAAGACTGAATGCATCCAGACTCTATGGGAGGTGTTATTTCAACAGCTGGTCTCAATAAGGTAAACTAATTACAAAGGCTAAACTCTGTGAGAAATAAATTCTCTAAAAAGGGATTTGTTTACTTTTGGTGGATAATCGGTTATTTCTTCTGCATGGGATGAGTTTCTGGCCTAGTCTTGTATTTTCATATGCCCAAATTTGCTTTAGTGTTCTCTGTACGATACTACTGCAGCTTGCTGGTGCGGGAAGTCAGAACCTACAGTGTAAGAGGTACTAGAATGGAATTATCATCACAAATACAAATCTCTATGAAGAGCAACGTCTGGCAAATATCCTCTGCTTTTTACCATTTGAAGTTTTAGACTTGGCTTTGCAAACAGGCAAGGGATTTCAGATCCAGAATCAGTTACTGGAAATCTTACCCTGTGGCTGGGTGGCCTGGAGTTTTGTTAGGCTTTAAATCTTTTGCTACCAGTAGAGAGGGGAATAGAGGTCCTTAGAGAATGAGGAGACTTTTCGGACAATAAAGATCCAAAGTAAAACCCTAGCATAATCTGCGCAAACAATGCTCCAACAAATTAGAATTTGGAACAGACTGATAAACTTTGTCCCGGCGATGTTTGCATGCCTCTGTTGAGTAATCCCATGGTCTCAATGTAACCTCAATCAGTCATCCTCTCCCCAAACAGCTTTGTTACCTTTTATTTGGATCGTGCAAATTTGAGATATTAAGAACTTTGGACAGAGACCATGTAATGCATTTGTTTGAAGGCTTTTGGCACATTCCTGAGAAGTACAAAGCAAGTTTGCTATGCCAGGCAGCTACAGACTGTATACCAGCAGCTCATTTTCCTAGCACTTTTCTTCCTTGGCAATCCTGAACAACAAATTGAAAAATGAATCCCATTTGGAGGTTCCTGCCACTGAAACGAAGCCACTTCCAAAATGCTTTGCTTTTGCTTTGAGTAGTTCATGATAGTTAAAACACCTAGAAGCAACAGCAGGAGAGATCTGGGAGACAGCACAGAGCAAGATCAGCCACTTGTTCTCCTATGCGTGCATTAAATGAGTCCCTTTTGACCTTCAACGTTATGCTAGTGCATTAGTGGAATCCCTTACAGAACAACATCATGACAGGAAGTGGGAGACTCTCCCGTCTCTTAATTTCACATGCAAAGGGAGTTCAAACACCAAATGCAGGTCCCCAGTTTGGAGTCTGGCAAAGAACCATGGCAAGGCGGCTCCTTTGAGAGAAGCTGTAGGGGTATTAGATGGGCGCATGGGGGTAGGTCCTTCTTTTCCTATTTCCCTTGCTGCAGGCGGAGGTCTGTAACACAAGTTTTGGTGTCACAAGACTGCACTTACAGTGAAGGAGGGAAAAAATCCCAAATTGTTTTAATGCATCAGTGTGCCAAGAGCAGTTCTGGTCACGTGTCCGCACGCTTACGGGAAAGTGCTCCCGTGATAATAAATGATCTCACTGGGAGAGAAGTGAATGTGTGAATGTGAGATACACATCAATGCTGTGTGCAGGTTTAGACAGACAGTGGCTTTTTAAGAAATCCCTCTGTTTCTGTGTGGGGGCTGGAAGTGCACACCCCAATTCTGCATAGGAAGGAGGATTTAGTAATGGCCTGATTTTAAAGCTTTTGTTATTTCTCTTTTGAGCAGGTCTAATCCAGCCCTCTGGTCCAGGCTTTTGGCTTCCTTTGGGGACCGCAGGCTGGGGCTTTTCATTGTTAGCTGAAACACACATTTGGATGCTTTCCCTTCCTGGAGCACATTTGCTTTTAGCGCTTTTAATACTTGCTTTGTCCCAAACTCAAACTTGTCCTATTTTGTTTGCTGCCTCATTTTTTTTCCCCCCCTTTTTTTTTTTAACCTTGATTCAGCAGTGGCAAAAGCCTGATGCCTGGGAGCAGTCAGTCTACAAAGCTCCTTTTCCTCTTTGACTAACCCCAGTTCCTACTGTTTCACAGATTTTTTTTTTTTTTTTCTGAGAGTAAAAACAATCCACAAAACTTACATACGAGAGTTTCAAAGTCCAGCACACAGGACTTTTATGCAAACTCTGCTGTCTGTGTAAGGTACTGTACCCCCTTTTCTAGCCAAGTCACCCAACTTCCCATTGTATCCAACCACATGGTTTGTCTTGGGGAGTTTTATAACAACCTACACACACACACTGGCAGATGGTCTGAATTTTCTCAACCAGCTGAGGGCTGTCAGGACAGAGCTTCCACATGGATACCAAATACAGCCGGTCCACAGTCTCCTAACCTGTTATCTCAGTGTGCAGAGATCTAGCTCTGGACAAAGGGGGGACAGAACTGCCAACCTCAGGGACCAGCGACTCACCTTGGGGCTCTGCTTGCCCCCTTGGCTACAATAGAATCCTGGGCAACAACCAGAATCCGTAGACTCCAGCTGCACAAATAAGTAGCTTGGATAAAGCGTGATGGGAATCCTGGTGGGATTTCCCTCATGGGAAAATGCAAGATATAAACAGGATGGAAACTACTATTGTTAGTCACCTGCAGTCACTGCAATCACCTAAAATCTCTTTGGCACATGGAAGTCTGTTTTCATGGATTTGGTGGGCAGGAGGGCCCCAAAGGCTGCCCACTCAGAGGCTGCCACTTAACACCTAGGAGTATGCACAGGGCTTCCATGTGCTAGGTAAGGGAAATGACCTACCCACGGGGCAACTGCAGTCCTGCACACAGCCCAAGCAAAGGCCACGGTGGTGCAGTTCAAGGCTGAACTTCTGAACCCTCACTGAACTTTTTCAATCTGGCTTTTGTTTGGATTAAGAGCAGAAGGCAGAGGGCTACAGACTGCAGGAAGCACTCCATCAAAGTGCTGGCAAGACTGCCTCCTCCCTGCCACATCACTTCCCATGACACCTCTTGGCTTTGCTCACCTGCAGCCACTCTGGCTCGTTGCTTTTGAATTCACATGGTATGCACAGCACAGTTTCCACGCAGATGAGAGAAACCACATGCTGCTGGAGTGAAACGCTGATAGTGGTGAAACCAGATTTTGCTCCCAGGGATGAGAGGTGTCCACAGAGCCCGAGAACTTTGTAATTCATGAGGAGTTCATATGGAACTTGCCTCTTTCCTAACACATAGCAACTTCTTCAGTTCAGGTGATGGAAGAGGGATTGACTTGGGTATTATCTGTGCCAAGTTCTGTTCTTCCGGTAGGAAGCTGAAAACGGAGTGGCAGCTGAGCACTCAAAATCAAGTACTCTATAATCTACAGAACCTTATACAGAGCCCAGACTCAGGGAGCCTGCGACATCCCTTAGCCCTTTTGGAAAGGGAACAACTTCACATAGTCGTGCTTTAACCGATATCTTGGACTTGCCGGAACAAAACGCGTGTTACATTCACATTAAGAGAGCATCTAAATGCTGGCTGTGTTAGTCCACACTATCTGTGTGAGAACCTCCATGCTGGAAAGAAAACTGCTGAGCTATTCAGGTTTCCATTCCTGAAAGCAAGGATAGAAGCTTCACCTGCAGCTGTGCTTGGCTGTTTCACAAATGGTTCTGGTGTGTGGTGGCCTGCACACACATGACTCTGGAATACGAGAAAACTCTGTCACTGCAGTGTGCTGACGAAATCCCTGAGAACTTCTTCGGCCTCGTGGGCTAGTGAAAATTATTTTGTTGCTGTAGCACTTAACAGGAACGTGCCAGGCTGGCGCACAAATGGATGCAGAAATAACAGCAGGAAGTTATGAAAGGGAGGATTCAGGCAGAGAATGAGGGAACAATCCTTGGCTGCAAGACAAATTTGCTTGTGGAGTCATCCCTTGGAAACAGTGAAAGCCCCAGACGGGTCCAAACATGAGAAGATGAACTGTAGGGAGTAATTCTGCATTGATGGGGGTAAACCTCATTGGTTTTTCATGTCCAAGTTCAGCAGACAAATTATATGGAAGAGAGCAGGAGGACAGTAGACTCAAGAGTTTATGGATGATGTGGGTACTCCCATGGCCCTATTTCTTCAAAAGCACCCATAGCTAGTAAAGCAGTTAAGTGGTAACATTTATAAGCTATCGCTGTCAAAACCAAATTAGGCAGAAAGCAAAAAGGCAAAGAACTAAAGTCCAAGAAATGAGAAATATCAGTCTCACGTGGACAGTGTCCCAACTGCAGGGGGTAGAAGAGAGAACTGTGGAGTGCTCCTCAGTTAAACTCTGACCACAAGGTGTTCTCATACATCTCCTACCACGCCCAGGACCATGCAGCTTGGCTCAAACTGCCATTCAATTTCATGTTATACCTTCTTCTGCAGTTCCCAACCTCCTCCTCTATGTTACATTACATCCTGGATGAGTGATTCCATAGTGTGCTAGATTGCTGGATGACCAAGAACAAGGCAGGATCTGCAGGCCACTACTTCCCAAGGCATTCTGCTCTTCCTCTTGCGTTCCAGAGACAGAAACAGGTCATGACATGGGGTGGGTAGGGGGCGGCCAGCTGTCAAGTGACCCAGTGCAAAGCAGGGTAATTCTTACCTCTCAGAAGAGAATCTGGGGCACGTAGGAGGGAACGTCCAAAGTTCATACAATAGAGACAATAAAACCACTTCAGAAAATACAGCAGGGATTCTGCTTTTTGGAAAGCTTCCTTAAATAAGCACCAGAAGAGCACCTTCTGCAGGGGCAGAGCAGGCAGAGGGGTTCTGGATGATAAATCTACATTTCACATCACTAGGTCAATGGCAGGGCAGCACCTTTGACCCTTGTTAGACCAAGAGTTTTCTGATAGTTCCATACAGTGGCATAATTACATTTTATTTTCAGCTAGGTGCTAGCCAGTGCATGCCAGACACTCAGTATTTGAAGCAGGCTCACTTTAAACAGAGTGACCGTGACAGAGGCCAAACATTCTGGCCAAGACAGCCATAGCTGCAGCCAAGGAAAAGCTGAGGAGCAGCTTTTCTGGTGTTCTCAAAAGTGTATTTTAACACAGCTCCTCAGCCCTTCTTTATGTTCTTCCCTAGCACCTTTGCCCAGGAGCCACAGGGTTTCGTCCATGCAGCTGGCCTGTACATTGTCTCAGTGGCAAAGAGCAGACACAAAGCAGTTTTTCAACAGGCTGGTTTGTTCCTCTTTTGGCAGCAAATGAAGCTGCTCTCAAAAATACTGACATAACCTTGGAAGAAGCCTGGCCAAAGGGAGCATCAACCAGAGCTTTGCAAGACTGGAGAGAAATGAAAGTGATTGCTCATCCAAATGAAGTAATCTGCCAGACTTCAGCCAGGCAGGAGCTGCTGCTCTGAGTCTACAAGCTGAGGTCTGTATTATGGTAGAGGTGCTGGGCTCTGATTCCTGCTTCAAGTTACACTTCCCCACAATGAATCTCCTTCAATCTCAGGTGGTGTGAGTGGAATCAGTCCCTAAGGTTATCTTAGGCTTTCATCTTGGTCCTGTCACTCTAGCAGCTGATGCTGCAGTCTAACGTCAAGAGCTCTACCATCAGCAAAATCGTCTTCAGCTCAGTGTAAGATTTTCTGTCCACAGATGGTAGGATTTCTCAAAGAGGTATGTGGGGTAACATCTGGAGGAGACAGTGACTTCTCAGAAGTCCCTCCTTTAAAAAAAGTGAAAGATTTCTCAATTCAGAGTGAAGAGTTAGAGATTGCTTACAAGAGGACAATGAGGGGAATTTCAGGGAAAAAGGGGTGAGCACTCAAAAGTACAGGTAAGACTCTGAGAGAAATGCTGTCCTTCAGCAGGGCAAATCTTACTGTCACAGTCTTCAGACAGACTATACGCCTTTACAGTGCTCGGTCTATTCTTTTCACCTTGCATCTTCCTAGTTTAGAACAGCATAGCAGGAACTGTGCCTTCTGTATGCAAAGCTTTCTTCCACGTGCAATGCAAGCTCCTGATGGCAAGAGTAAGTGCAGATGAGGGAGGGGGAGAGACGGCAGGAATGGAGGCCATGTGACTGGTAATGGACTAAATTCTTAGTATACTGGATACTACCAGCCACCCATGAGAACTATCCATCTCAGTTTGCAGACCTGATAAGTTTGTCTCCATCTCTGCTGACTTGCTGCTGCGTGACTATTTTCTTTTGACCAAGGAGGACCAGATTCCTGCAGAGCCAAGAAAGTGACACCTCTTTGACCTTTGCAAGCATCAGTATACAGCAATGGGCAAGCTGCTGTGCCAGGGTCCCTGGTTCCTTCAAGGATCAGGTTAAAGGTCCCTCAAGCAGTCGGTGGCAATTCAATAGCTCCATCTTCAACATGGGCATTTCAGTCTGCACCTGAAGTGTGGCTGGTGAGGGTTATTTTGGAGGGGATGGGGTGCAGAAGAGCATATTTCAAAATCACAATCACAGTAGACCCACCAGTGTGAAGCAAGGAAAAAGCCATCACTGCACACAGAGCTGGAGAGCACAGGGGCTGGTTAAACTGATGTTAAGGAATGTACATTACCTGTGTTTCTGACTTGGAAGAACTTTAACAGGGGGCCCAAGCAGATTATGAAGCACCTCAGTTTCTCCCCATTGACATTATCAGGTCTGTAACAGCAGTGCAAAAAGGCACTAATACCTCTCATTTAAGCTGAGGGGTAAAGACAACTACAGCAGCCAATACAGCAATCTCAAGAAGAGCTGTAGTTCAAGAATTTGGAAAATACATCACTTAACTGTGCAATATACTGCCTAATAGGTTCTCCATGGATCCTGTTGATCTCTTCTTGAACTGGCACTTAAAACCCCAGCAGACACAAATACAGTGAAGGAACAGTCTAAGTTAGGTGTGCAGCCCTGATATTCCACCAGACAGGATTAGAAGATGACCTGGTCATGTTCTCATGGCATTGAACAAGGCAGCTTATTCCACTCAAAAGTCCCAGCCCAACTCTGCCCCTGTCCTCCCCTGCCATCTCGCTTGCATTTGGCAGCACCACAGGTTGAGTGCTTCCCTACTACAGACTTACAGAAAGCTTGAGAAACAAGTACAGAGGCAAAGACAAATTACTTGTCCAAGCTTACCTTGTGGAGGAAACTTTTGATAAGAGCTCTGGCTTCATTCCCTAAATAAATACTGGTTGAATGTCTTCAGCATGTGGGTACCCTTCAGGCTAGAGGAAGGAAGCAATTGTATCTCCTGCCTTATGTAGTGCCAGCTATTGTTCCAGAGAGCAATGTAGAAAGCGCAGGTGGGGATATGCACAGTCAAAACTCTCAAAGAACCGCAGTAGTCAAGATTTCGCAAGGCTTCAACACACAGAGCTTTCCCCTTCCAGCAGGATGAGAACTCAGTATCATGAGGCACCAGGAAAGCACACCTCAAGTACCCCTGCACTCTATCCTGGCTCTAGGACTCATTTGTTTAGTTCCAGCCCCACCACCAAAACTTTCAATCCAATTTCTTGAGCTCATTCTCTTGTTTCCACCCAGACCCCAAAGCCTCCCTATTTCAATGCTGTTCCATCTCATTAGCAACAGCTCTGCTCTCTTTTTCTAAACTCTGCTTCCACCCTGCTTGCTATGTTCCCCTGCTGGGAGGAAGAAAACCAAGGGTGGTGTAGGGAGGGACTACCAATGCAATAGGGAGGGCCTGGATACTAATCTCCACTTTAAATCTCTTAGAGGTGTAGCACACCTATGTACATGTAGAATGTAGCTGGAGGTATCTGTTCTTTGTTCTCACTAAAAGTCTATGGAAAAATTTATTAGTCAGGGCATTAGATCTGGAATCCTGGTGTGATTCCAGCAAGATCTAGGATTTACCATTTCCTGTCTCAACCTGCTATGCAGGGTTGCTATGTGAACGCTAACTAGGTAATGCACTCTACCCCACAGCTACTAAAGAATCCCAAAGTCTTGTAAGATACAGAAAAAGTTTTCAGGGTTGAAGTATCTGATGGCTACATCAAATGTAGAGCCCTCAAATTTGATCCTCAGTGATACCCAATATGCAAGCCTGCCAGCGTCCAAGGGACATTTCCAAGAGCTTGCCTCAAATCTCCACCGCAGAGAATCAGACCTGAAATGCAGGACTCTCCAGCCATCCCCAGCCCTGCAGCCTAAACTCTCCCAGCAACAGCCCCATGGCCTCTGGTAACCCCACAGCTTGCTAATGCTAGGTTCATAAACCGCTCTGACATCCCCATGGAAACAGAGTGTGAGGTCATAAACAGGGGATTAGCACCTCTGAGCGCCCAGCACAGTGCAGGAGGCGGCCTCATGCTTTCCTTCTGCCCATCAAAGGCCAGGGGCCATTCAGGCTGGGGAGGGGGAAGAGACACTGTTGCATAGGAAGGGCAGGCAGAAGGCGAATTGCTGACTGGGGGCAATGGGGAACAGGGTTGTGATGGGCCCCTGCTGGCTGCTCAGCCCCCCACTCACTGCTGATACTCCTCCTGGCCACTGCCCTGCTGTTGGGGCCAGGCACCAAAAGGCTAAGAGAGAAGGGACTGCTCAGCCTGGAGAAAAGAAGGCTCAGGGTGGTCTTACCAATGTTTATAAATACCTGAAGGGAGGGTGTTAAGACAGAGACAGGCTCTTCCCAGTGGAGCCCAGTAACAGGACAAGAGGCAGCAGGCACAAATTGAAACATGAGAAATTCTGTCTGAATGTAAGAAAACACTGTCTCACTGTGAAGGCTCTCCTCTGGAACATGCTACCGTGAGAAACTGTAGAAGGTCCATCCTTGGAGATATTCAAAACCTGACTGGACATAGTCCTGGGTAACCTGCTCTAGGTGACCCTGCTTGAGCAGGGGGCTTGAACTAACTGATTTCCAGAGGCCCCTTCCAACCTCAGTTACTCTGTGATGCTGTGACTCCATCTCTATGGTATCCTCCTGTGACTGCCCTACTGAGTGTTAGTGATGAGGAGGTGAGTGCAGCTGAGGAAGGGAGGGCAGATTCTTAACATGTGGCAGTTTCAATCCCATGTGGATAAATGGTTTGAATGAGATGTGGTTTATCCTTAAAAGACAGACAAAAGAGTATCGTGAGAGACCTTCCTTCTCTGAAATGCAATGAGTACTCTTTCTGAGCCCTGTTGCCTGAGGCACGTTTTACCCAGTTACAAGGAACTGCTCTTCCTCTTCCAATCTATTCCTGAAAAAGAGAGATGTGAAAAGACAAGACTATTCACCTGTTGAACTTGGGTTTCTTGGGAATATGCCCTTCAGGAAGTGGAGGCCTGTGGTTTGGCAACAAACCTGAAACAGAAAAAGGAAGGCGTGAGAATATTTTACAGTGTGTCCTTGTCTCTACAGCATCCAGAAGTTACAATGCACCTCATAGGCAAGGCAACCCAGGTCTCTACTGGGACAGCATAGCAAACACACAAGTATAATAGAAAGGGTATTTTATCTTTGGTTATTGCTGAACCTGAACCCCAGCCAAAGAGAAGCTAGGAGGTTCTGCTGGGTCTGGAGAGGAAAGACACACAAAGACACAGCCGCCTGGGCTCAAAGAGGCTTTTTGAGAAGACATGGGTTACTCGTGTCCAATCAGATTCCATCTCCAGGATGAAAATCTGATTATTCAAATTCTCTGTCCATTTAACTTGAAAACAACTCAGGTATGAGGCATAAAGATCAGCACAATACTCTGACTGTGTCAAGCTGGGTCCCACTGCCAGGGTAAATCAAAAAAGTCCTTACATGGCAGATGACAGACAGGTGCGTGTTATTAATGGGGTAGGTCAAGTTTATGCTAAATCAAGCAATTTCAGAAGCTGGTATTTAATCTTACAGTTACTAGAGACTGAGCCACTTCCCAGATCTTTCTGCAATGGTAGACTCATCTACAGGGATAAATGTCTGCTGCCAAGACACATAGAAAGTGGAACAAGTTGTCTCTGGTCCATCATCCTGTTCCAGCATTTGGACCATAACGAGTTTGCTGGGTGACTGGACAATGACATCTCACTGAGCTAATTGGGCGGGAGATCCCTCTCAAGGGGTTCTGTGGGTAACCCACAGTAAGGGGTTGTCTCAGGAGGAGGCTAGGTACCTGCACGGTGAGCCATCTGCACACAGACAGCAATCTTCTTGTGCTCCTCCAAACAGAGGCCTGTGATCCTTCGTGGCAGCATCCCTCCATCAGAACGGATAAACTGACTCAGCAGCAAGACATCCTGAGGGAGCAAGAGAAGGGCAAAACCGTCAGTGCTACAGCTACTTTAACTGCTGTGATTCTTAGGTGTTGTGCTGACCCTTGTGCTGTGTACAGAACTCAAAACAAAGCAAAACAAAACAATGATTCCTTCCTACGCACTTTGGCTGCAGCCTGACAACAAGTGGCTTTTTCTTGCTGTCATTCGGTCTGCCAGCTTAGCTCAGTAAGGTCACTCAGATGGTCTGAGTCTTTCCCTGACTTCACTAGTGTAAACACATGATATCAGCTGCAATCCCTGCTACTTCACTGTCGCTTGCTCCAAGATTCTAGCTAAGATAATATGTTCTAGGTACTCAGGCACAGTTACACAAGACCTACAGATGGATAGTGTTTACACAACTGAAATGCCATCACAGCTGCTATCCTAAAGGTCACAAATATGTTAGGTTACCTCTGACCCTCTCCTTGTTTCAGAGCAGGATTGTTCTCTGCTATCTACTCCTCAAACGTTTACCCAGCTTCCCATGGTGGAACTTCCCTCGTGTCTCTCTGGAGGGGTGGAGAGCAGGGAAATGGTCCAAGATCTTGCATGAAGAAGCTTTTTGTAAGAAAAGAACGTGTGCTGATTATGATAAAGACCTAATAGGATAAATTGCTCTCCTTGGCCTGTTCGTGCATTAGGTGGGGCTGTTATAGACATGCTGGATGGAAGGAGCACTCGGAGCATGCTGAGGGTTTGCCTGTGATTAGAGAATCATTTAGATTACACTGATGTTGACCTTTCCAATTAAGAGCTCTAGAAATGTAAAGCACTCTTAATAAAAACAAAATTAAAGGGATCTCTAGGATCAGATAGTATCACAGGGCTGGAATGACAAACTTTTAAACACAGCAGCAACAGCTGTTGCACGAATGTCCCATTAACTGTACGCAGTACAACATCCCAGTATTTAGAGATGTGCTCTACATTTCCACATGCAGCACCAGTGCAAATGTACCCCTCAGGCCAGTACAGGCAGGTCCCCTTGACATGCTGACGTCAGCATAAGCTGGCCCAAAGGGCCTCTGGAGACTCTGTGCTTGTTTTTTCCCCATCTGTTAACAGACCTTGCTGGTTGAGAGTTTACTTCTCCACTGCTGTTATAAACATGTTCATAGTTGAGGTAGCTGGACCATGTGGAGGCTGCCTGCAGGCTGGAAAGGACCTGCCAGTGAGCACCCTGACAGAACAAGAATTCAAACCAGGTACGTCAACACTTTACACCCCCTCTGCCTAGGACAACAGGCAAGAGCAAAGAATACTTGTTGCTTTTCACATTGGGTGACCCTGACACTGCCTGTTGTTCACAGATTTGCAGACCTGCTCCCACCCCCCTATTCTTTGCTCTTTTACAGAGAGCTCCCTGGAGCATTCCTACCTTCATTTACTGCCCTTGCAAAAGCAAACAATCATGAGTGGATATAAAATGAACGTTCAGAAAAGCTTGCTATCTAGGAATTATACATCCACCCCCACTGCACAAGACTAGTTCAGCTCTGAAGGGACTTGCTGGAATTCAGTATGGCTTTCTGATAATGACTGTTTCTGACAGATGCTGTCATGCAAGCACTGCAGTCAAAATTTACACCTTTTCTTGTTTGTTTTGCCCTTTTCTGGTTTGTTTTTGTCCTTCCTCCTCCCTGCATTCAATCCCACTCTCACTAATATCATCACGACACACAATTTCCCTCTTCCCTCACCTGTCTTCCCTTTTACCTCTGCTTGTCTAAAATGAATGTGATCGGACTGATTTTCAGATCCAGCTCCTTTGAAAACATGGCAGGTTAGGCAACTTGGTCACCAATACAAAATGATTCATCAACCACCATACAGAGCGATATATCCAAAGAACAAGAAAAGCACAGCTGAGCCACTAGCAGCAAGTTCCTTAGAGGCCATCTACGGTTAAAATGGAAGCAATGTGTCCTCAGCCTAGCTAACACATGGCCTTGCCAATGAGAACAGTAACCAGGGGACCAGTTGGTGCCAGCTGCGTTGGTGGAAACTGGACAGGGGCCAGCCAAACAGTCCAAGGGCACTGACTTTCAGCCACTCCTGAAATGCACTGGATTGGATTCAGGAAACCAGAGCAAGACTCCATCTCCTTTTTTCCTCTTCTTTAGTCATCCAGTTCTCCAAATCACCAACAGCTCAATTTGCCATTTAGCACACACATATCCCTTCCTCAAGTGAAAGAGTGCAGTTCAGCTCCAAGTACCTAGAAAGAAAAAAAACTTCCTAGACTTTTCTACTAGCCCACTGCATTACTCTGTGGGGAAGAGGAAAAAGGGATCTGATGGCGAGTTTGAGGCTGTTCCAGTCTTTGCAGCCGTAAAAGCCTAAGTAGGCCACAGGCTCTTGTGAAGGGTGTGTGTGGTCCAATTGATTTCTTGTATTACCACCACGCCTTATGGAGTCACAGGGTTGTTATCAAGTGTTTCCATGCAAAGGGGGGAACGTGGGAAGCAAAGAGAGACAGTCTTTCTTTTTCTCCCTGTGGAAAAAAAATCAGGAAAATCCATTCTCCGTTATCATCTCTGACCAAGTGCCACCAACTGACCAACACCCTTTTGTGACAGTCATTTCTTAACTGAAATCATTTATGTCCCAGCTGCAGCTCCAAATTACACTCGCGGTGTTTGGCTTAAAATGCTGCACACTTGACAGAAGGTTTGTCCATTTCTGAAGATCCCCACAATTAACAGGCCAGGTGCCTCTCCCAGAGTACTCACACAGATGCATCTTACCACAGGGAGAAAGCAAACAGGTACAGCCAACTTTATGGGGCAGCTGTGGAGGGAAATGAACAAGTAGGTGGAACGGTCAAAGAAAAAAAAATGTCTGGCAAGTTCTCATGGTGCCGTCATGTTCCATGAAATTCATATTTTGTGCTAGTGGACAGCCAAGCCTGTAACCACGGATTTGCTTTAATCACTGGACAGCTCCCACGAGGCTGGACCCAGATTCCCACCCCTGTAGTCTGCAGCATTTGATGAAAACAACTTGGATTGAATTAATCTAGGGCTAATAGGCAAAGCTTGCAGTTTGGTTTCCCCTAATTGCTGCCAAAGCAAGATGACATATTTACTGCCTACTCAGACTAATGATGTTTGAAGTGGATAAGGGGGTAAATGAAAAACAAGTTTAGCCTTCACCTCTAAAAGGGCTGGACAAACTTGCTTAACGAAACACTGTGCAGCGTGTTCTTGTGAATAGATGGCAACCAAAATGCAGAGGCATCTCTGCATTTTAATATCTGCAGACACTTTGAAAAGCAGGATTCTTGACTGCTTACATGTGATTCATTAAAACGTTCATTTACCACAAGGAGTTCTGTGTAGCCAAATGACTAGCTGGCTGTATCAGACAAGTCTGCCAGTCATTATTTCTAGTTATACAAGAGTCTGGTTTTCCCTTTCTCCCTTATGCATGGAAAACGGTGTACAGCTCTCCCAGGAGTTTCATAACAGGACTGAGGGTTTCAATCCAGTTGCATCCTGACAATGACCAAAATAATTTTTTAATTTCAATGGATGTGGGGAAAAAAAAAAAAAAAAAAAAAAAAAATCAGCTGAGGTCTCAGTTTCAATGGACAGACACACACAGACCATGAACTGTGGGAATTTATACCTTAGCCTCTGTTATCCTGAGCCTCAGCAGACACTAAGGACTGAACTGGCAACGACAACTGCAGCCCTCCACACCACAGCTGAGACAGGTTGGAATCATGACCTGCTAGTGCTCACAATGCCTGTTCAGTTGATTAATAACTTTGGAGACATTGGTCCCCCAGTTCTCTGACAGCCAAAGTAACTCATTATGCCACTACTTTAGACTGTGCTAGTTGCACATGACAAAAGGAAAGTCCTATGAGGTCATATTACTCAGCTCCCTCAGGGGCTAATTCAACACTTCCCTTTTCATAGTGCCTCATTCAGTCCAATTACAAGCGTCCCAAGCAAAAAAGCTCGCACTTTCTCTTCTGTGCAACTGACTGATCTCAGCTTATCAATCTGAAAGGAACCACTGTGAACCATCTATTCTGATCTCTTACCAAGCACAGATTATAGGTTATGCTGTATGAACTAGGCTGTATCTTTAACAAAAATAGCTGTTCTCAATTTACAGACTTTTAGGACGATTAACCACCAGTGAGTAAATTGTGCCACTGTTTAATTACCCACACAATTAAATGCCTGCACATTATTACTTAAGCATTTCAAGATTCTGCTGCTCATCACTATTGCATAAAAAAAAAGGCAGAGTGTGATTTTGTGCAGAAAAGGGAGATTTTATTCACCTTAACATTTAAAAGCCAGAAAATCCAGGACTGGTACAAAGCATTCAAACATATAAGGGATTTATTCCAGCAGAAGAGGTGGTCTACTCCAGAACTGAAATTTCTCCAGCCCCACAGAGGAATGCTTTTAGATACGGAGTTAAGAAACCTCTACAATTCTTAAATACCAGTCCACACTGCCCTCTTTACCATTTTGTCCAGGTTCTCCTCTGCTCTACAGCAGAAGTACTAGATGTATATACACCAGATACATATGCATTAAAAAAACCACATGACAGCCAGGCTGGGCATGTTCCTGGTTTGTCCCTCAGGACCACAATTTCTTAGAAACTCTCTCAGCAATGATTCTTAAGGCTCTGGCTGCAGGATCTCTCCTCACATTTGTTTTTTTCTTGACTCCATACTGGACAACAGAAATCAGGATCTAAGAATCAAACTGAACTGAAGTGTAGAAGAAAACTTGTAGCCTTCGTTTACAAACACACCAAAGACTCATGCTTTACATTGTCTGTTGGGACCAACAGCCTACTTCTAATCCTGGAACTCAGTCTTTATAGCATCACATTGTCTAAAACTGCTTCTCTGGTTCTTGATGGCACTGTTATCTCTATGTGTAACAGAGTCTTCTCCCACAGACAGCAGCAGAAAGTGAGTCTATATATTAATTTCCAAGATCTATTCCGCTCCCATGGCTCATTTAATCCCTGAGCGTGGTTTATAGTTTATTTGGAGTTGTTAATCTGTAACTTGTGGCATGCTTTCTGATAATCTGTAGAACTACCCAGTTTAATAAGGCTGTTGACTGTGTGCATTTAAAAGTCACATTAAACTATATTAACCTTAAGAAACTATTTTCCAGTGTAAAGGATCGGTCTGTTTTGATCACAACACAATTGAGCAACCATGAAGGAGAGAGTTACAACAGTGTCATTCAAACATGGGCCACACAAAACAAACATGATTAGTTTCTGCAGTACTTTCCATACCTTAATGGTACTTGCCATTTCTCCTAATTTGTTATCATCTGCAAATTCTTTGTATTTTTAGCTTTCCCAGATTATTAAGAAATCAGATCACAGAACACTACATACTCCCCCGTCTCCAACTTATTTCACTGTTTTAATACTGCACCCAGCCCGCATCAGAATCACTGACAACACTCAGATCCTAAACAACTCAATTTCTGCAACACAGGCTTTGAAAGATATTAAACTGATATTTCATCTACATCTCACATCTCGTTTCACATGCCTGGAGTAATTGCAAGTATTCCGTCTGACACTATTGCTATACGCATGTTCTTCATAATTCATGAAGCATAATTAGTGCTATCCAACAGGTTATTTGTTTTTATTCCTAGTTGATACCATTTTACTTGGAATTTGCAACATTTGGTTAACCAAGTGGTAAACATTAGCATCATTCTCCTTCCTCTTTCAACTACTTAGCATTTCGCTTGCTATTTTCAAATCATTTGGTGATTCCTTAGGATGTTTTTTAAAGCTGGCACAAGAGATATATGGCCTTCCTGTATCAGATGGCCATGTGTGTAAGTCCAAACCTCCTACCTGATATGAGCTCGTCCTTCTTTTTCCCAGGAATATCATCAACAAAGTAATATATGTTAGCCAATTCCCTTAAGATCTTGGGGCTACATGCAATCCGGGCCTGCTGGTCTGTACCTAATTCAATGTTTAAGTTATTTCTGTACCTGTTTTTTCCTGTTGTTTTACCTTTGCAAGATCGCCATTACTACCTAGATATTAAAACATATTTTTTATTTTGTACGTGCACTAGGACTGCACACGAGCAGCTTAGTCATTCTGCAGCCGACATGGCTTTCAGCCCTCTTCTCCTCTCATTAATGGACTCTTTTTTTCTTACAAAGATTTATTTTCCTCCAGATGCATTTGTATCTCTCTCACCCTAATCCTATTGACATTAGCTTATTCTGAGTTTTCTGTTGGCTTATCTTAGTAACAGCATGTTCCTGTCTGGTTTTCTTCTTTTCTAATTCTAGTACTGGGTTTTTAGCTTGCAAGGGAGGCACTTAGTCCTTTTGTAAACCCTGTGTTTGAATGACCTATTGTAAATTTACATTCTGCACCTTCTGTCTCATGCTTATTATAAAGTGTTCTTGACTGCTGTACTTTTGTTTTAAAACATCACAGGATTTCCCTCCCATCTTCTACATTTAGTGTAAGTAATCCTCTCATTCAGTAAACTTCTCACCAGCATTTCCAGCAAAAAGCTTGATTTAAACCTATTTTTTATGTTGCAAGAGATGTAAACATGTATGCTTTCCTTCATAGACATTAAGACTTTAGAAGTTATAGAAAACAGTTATTACCTTAGTGGACAATGACCCAGTAAGAAATTGTAGAACTTGAAGACATATAATTGGTCTAGTCAAGTCTTCTGGCCTCTCCAGAGTTAGAATAGGCCTGAATCAGTTAACTAAATGTTGCATTCCAGTTTGATTCTCTTGGAAATGCAATGCTGAAAGGCAGCTGGGCACAAGAGATATATGGCCTTCCTGTATCAGATGGCCACGTGTGTAAGTCCAAACCTCCTACCTGATATGAGCTCGTCCTTCTTTTTCCCAGGAATATCATCAACAAAGGCAAACAATTACTATGTAGGAAGCTCTTGTTACACCCAAGAGAAGCAGAGATGGAGTTAACTAACTTTGCTACACCCAACAAAAGATAAAAGGGGCAGGTCGTGCAGTACGTAGATTTGAGAGCAGTATTTATCTAACAATGCAGATGGAGGAACTCTCCTTCATTAAACTTACCACATAATCGTACTTATGCTTCAGGTTCCAGCGACAGATGGGACACTGGCCAGAGGGGTTTGGAGGAGTTGGTGTTTCAGCATCCTCTATAATTCTCCCTTCAATCTAGGAAATAATTCAAAGGATATTATGATCAGGCATAGTTTAGACCTCTACCTGCACGTATGACTTGAGGAATACTTTTCATCAAGTCCACAACACGTTGACCAGTATAGCGCAGATGTAAGGGGAACAGCATTTGCGTTATTCAACTCGCTTATATATAGATATACCAAGCACTTTGGATATACACAAACTATGGGGAGAAGAACAAATCCAAGAGGCATAGAGAACCATTTGGTAAATTCTTGTATGTGTTTTACTAAACGTAAACTAGTTCACAGTCAGTGTGAAGTTCTCATATTTGCCTGAATTCCATTTATTGCAGTACTCCTTTGAACCACCATGCCTTGAAATTGTAGTGGCCCTTTAGCCAAAAGCTTTAAAATGCATTTTTTTCTGGGAATATAAGAATGTCACAGAATAGCAGATGCACACTGTGGACAAAAACATGCAGAGGCTTGCTAGATCATAAATCACCAACAGGGAAAACTCTGATCAAAATTTAAATTTAAAAAAGGTTTGTTAGGAGGTGTCTGTGGGTTTGTGGTTTTTGTTTGCCTTTTTTTAAAAAAAACATACCAATATTTTATCTGGTTTAATACCCTCAACAATTCCTTTAAGAGATTTTATAATCTTTTCTATATCACTACAAAGCGGTGACATCTAACACTCAAGTTTTCTCAATAGTAACATGCAAAGAGATGTGGAAGGAGTACGTGGGAAGAGTTTGAGAAATTTGTCTTCTACATGTAGTTATGTTAGGAATATGAAGTCTATCTACATGTGCGCTCGTCTTTTTTGGAGGACTTATGAATAGAAGCAAGAACTATCTCAAATTACAGCTGAATGAACAGAAAAGACAATAAAACTAAGACATTTTTTTCTCCCAAAATATTTTGGAAGTTTCCTCTGGTCAAATTAAGATTAAAAACAGATTTTGAACACCACTGACAGCCTCAAATAGTGCAAGCACCAGAGAGTTTAAAAGAAAGCCCAAATAGAATGCAATGTTACTTTTAAGAAAAAACCTGACCAAGACTAAAGCATCAGGTTCTGCACCTGAAAACCTAGGAATAGAAAAGCATGACATTTTCCGTAAGTATGCATGGGAAACTGGCATCCAGCTGAACTTTCAGAACTATTTTATACCATCAATTTGTGTCTTTCTTGTTTAGTGATGACAAAATGGAAACAGTTATTTGTAGTTCAAGCATCTTTGTATCTCAATGAGAGAGAATATTGTCAGTTTTTAAGTAAGATTCCTCCCCCCACAAGTAGAACAGCCAGTTTAACAAAACCAAAAATGTAACTATGAATATAAAATATAGGCCAGTATCTAATTTTCTAGTCACTGGTGAAGTTGTTTTCTGGGGAGCTGCTGTATCTGGTCTTGATTCTTGCCAGTCTGGATTCAGATTGTACTTTGACTGCAATTCCAGCCTGGAAATGAGTAAAGATTCAGAATGCTATGACAGTATCAATTTTTGGTATTTTGGTATTTTTTTCCTCTCAATTTTATCAATTGAAAATAATTTCAGTGTACAGTTTTTGGCCATTATTTCCCAACTACTGAGAACATTCATATTGTTAACCCACTCTATTATTATTCTGTTAGAGAACTAAGAGGGAATATAAGGGCTCTACATTCTCATTATGCTGATGGAATCCAGGTTTCTCTGGGATTCATTTATCTGATTCATGTCAAACACTTCCTTCAATACCGATAAAAGCAAGGACACATAGAAAGATGGAATCAGAAAAGACTGTCATAAAGTTGGTAGGATAAATGGAGTAACTAGAGGATATGCTGAGAAAAGTATCAGCCCTTTGGTTGGTCAATTTACACCATTTGTTAGGAGATTTTCCTCATCTAGGGGCACTAATGGATCCTAAATCGATGCTTGGATATTATCATCAGTGGAAATATCCAAATATCCATTATGCTTCTACAATGAACAGGGAAGAATTATTTTTCTAAAGGGCTCTGCTACTGCAGTGCCTGACTTTTTTACTTCAAGCCTCAGTTAATGTATTGGGACTTTGTGATTATAATTCACATCCCCTCTGAAACAGATTGTGTGCAAACTACAGCAATTCACTGCATGTGCTGTGTTCATACACACAGCCCCCCCTTGTTTTGGTTAAAACAACTTCAAAGCATACTTGCAAGTTCTTCTCTTCAGGTCTCTGGGCAAAAATTGGCACTTGAAAAGAAGAAAAAGAGACTTTGCATCACATCTACTGTCACACCTTAAACTTATTTTTATTGGCCTTCTTAGAGATCTTGCTAACTGCCATATTCTATCTGATATTATATATCTAAAATAAAAGTAACCAGCTCCATTCAGGTTTTAAACATGACAAGAAGAAAACTCAGACTTTCAAAGGCTTGAACAACTAGGTTTTGTCTATTCCATCAGCAAGCAAAAAAGTCTGTCCCCTCATTATTTATGTACCTAGAGATTTGCATTTAGTAGGTGCATTGTCCTCTAGCTATTCCCAAATAATTCATACTCTACTTTCCTCATCATATTTACGTATTTCAAAATACCTGTGTTACCTCTCTCCTGCCAAGGCATAGATTGCTACTGACATATGTAATGTGAGCAGAATAATTCAATCTCCTTTCCTCCCTCAGTAATTTCAGTGTTTCTTCTGAACAATAACAATTCTCTTGATAAAAGTGCAAGATGGCGTTAAGTAAAATTCTAAATGTACTGCTTTGGTCGTTTCTTCCCTGTCTTAAACCATAGCTGAGAAAATGCTCTTCTTTATCAGTTACTTCAGAACTTTATTTTCAGAAGCAGTTTTCCTTAAATACTAAAGACCTTCCTCTGATGATATCTATCACTGAAAATTTTTTCTTGCCAAGTGCCTTACAAGATGAAAGCTTCGTATCACTTGCAGTCACTATGACACATAGAGTGATTAACAAACACAACACAGATCAAAGGCAAGTGATGTGCCTGACACACAGCTGGTACAGAGACATCCTGCGATGCCACATTGCGTTGCAGGCCTAGGGTGAAGTGACAAAGCCACCAGGCAAACCTCCTTCGTACCTGCTAACACTTGAGACAATGCCAAGTGTCACTACTTTAAGAAATGAACCCCTCTGGAAAACTATTTCATACTTTTGGGTCCCAAATAACCCCAGTCATGCCTTACAGCTTTAGCAGGGGCGCAGCGAGGGGTTTGGTACTCATGGGCGGCTGACTGCAGCCACTTGCCACCAGCAACAGGGTCACGATGCCAACATTCAGCAGCCAGATCCTCCATTGCTTACTTGCACTTGCAACACACTCCTACCTTGATTTTGCCCTCACAGCCTAAGATATCTTTATATCTTTCAGGCAGAAAGGTGACCTTTTTGACTTTTTTTTTAATTGGGGGGCAGACACGGACACACACTTAAGGAGGAAGAAGTGACGGCAAGTGCAGCTACTGAGAATGGGTGCAAGGACTTACCGTGGTCGTGTTGCCTTCAGTCACCTCTACGACTGCAAAAAAAAAAAAAAAAAAAAAAAAGAGATAGAAGGGCAAAATGAGACTCATTCAGCCTAAAAGAAACAGTATTTTCTGGAAGAAGAGGGTGAAATATAGTGAACGCAGGCGTCTCTCCCGACCGCGGTGCGGCAACGGGACGCAGGACAGCCCGCGGCTCCCTCTGGACTCACCCTCCCGGAGGGATCGGGCTGGCGCCGACGCCCAACCGCTCCCGAAGATGCCGGTGAACAACCTCCTCAACCCCGCGCGCAGCAGGCTGGGCGCCGCCATCTTGCCGTCGCCGGCGCTACCGTCACTCCCGCTTCCGCCGGCGGGAGGGAGGGCTCTGCCGGCGCCATTTTGGTGCGCCTCTTTCCCCCGCCCCCGTCACCTGAGGGGACTGAGTGGGCGGGAGGCGGTTCTCTGCCCAGCATCGTCCACCTGGGGTGGTTTTCCTTGTTTTTACGTTTGTTTGTCTGTGTGGTGTTTTTTTTTTTGTTGGTTTTTTTTGTTGTTGTTTTTTTTTTTAAGCTTGTATCAGTTTGGGATGGAAGTAAATCTGGACATAGTGCTGGCTGGCTTTATGTTATGGAGGCCTGAGCTACACACTTGCCACAGTTTTTGAGTCTCTCCTGGCTCTCCAGTGCAAGGAAGAGCAAGGGATGGTGTAGCTTAAACTATGTGGTGGGCAGGCTCCTCTGTTTTGATGGGCTCTGGGGTGACCCCCAGCTGCAAGGCATGTTTCAGGCCTGCGGTGTGCTGCAGGAAAGGGGGCTTGTTGAAAATCTGCCAGTTGGACATCTATATTTACCAGGTTCTTGCACTGACTCATGTAATTCAGCAGGTGAAAATTTGAAGCTGCATCTTGACAGGACTCTTGTAACCAATTAGTCCAGTTTAGATACTTACAATTTTTGTGTTAATATCACTTGCCTTTGGCAGGTCTTGGGCAGCTTAGGCTACTGAGAGATCACTTTTCCCATTATCTTTCTTAGTATGCCTCACCTCCTAGCTTCTTCTACCTGCCTTTGGTAGAAGGTACCATAGGGGTGCTAGTTGAGGCAGGTGTCAGCTGGGACTTCAGATACCAACAAACCATTCATCTTAGGTGGTAATGCTATATCTTCATGAAAAGCATACTTAAGATAGAGTTGAACTGTACTCAATAGCAAAGGTCATTCATGGGGTTTCCTCAAGTGCTTGTTTGCTTTCTCTATGTCATTTCAACTCTTAAAAAATCCAGGAAGCAAAACTAACAGATAAAATCCCTTGGAAGTCATGTGTATTAATGGACATTCATGCCGTTCTATTCCATCAGTGGTCATAAAAAATATGTTCTGGATATTTTTCTGAGTTTCTAGCTAAAATTTGGTGTAAAATATAAATTGTGACATAAATGTAAAATTTAATGTAAGATAAAATTTGATCTTCCTGTCTCAGGAGGTCTTCCACCTCCTTCCTCTTGTATGTTACACATGCTTCTTGTTACAGTCCAGTTTGCAAATCTCTTTCTGTAGCAGATCTACGCACTCAACTCTGGGACTTTCCAAAGAAGTGGGAATGAAGGCAGGGCTTCTGTCCAGACTCTTGTGCTCTATGCCAAGCGATGAAAACAGGGCCATCCCAGTTATTCAGAGAACAAATTGAGTAAGAATGCTTGCCGGAAGAGATCTTTTCCTCTCGCCGCATTATGCTATATAATGATTTCTAGAAGCAGGGTGATCTTTAGTTTGTCCAAAAGCTTAAACATAAGAGCCAAACAAAATATTTACTGCCATCCAGTCTAGGGATAACTTCCTTATGAGGAGAAGGAACTTTGCTAGGAACAGGGGTGTAGTGATGTCAGATTTTTATGAGTTGGGGTTGTTTTCTTTTTTTTTTTTTTTTTTCTGTATATAGAGTTTTATCCTAGTGGAAGGAGTTTTGTTGCAACAACTTAACAGGAGAGTTCAGTGGCTTAAATTAAATGCAATATCTTTTGGCTTCCTTGCTTCTTGTGATGGGGAAAACTAAAGGGGTGACTCTGTGGGATAGAAACAAGCAGTTGGTAAGCACGGTGCTGGCTCACCGTGGTGGAGATAGGTAGACAGAGGGTTAGGGGCTGTTCAAGAGTTCCTCCTTGTCACAGGACTTTAGATGCAGATACTTAAGCAGCGCTATTACTTTTGGTCAGACAGAAGAAGGCCAGCAACATGGCCATAGTTCAGATACAGTAAGTACTCCACTCGCTCGCCTCACCTTCAAGCAGATGCTGTCTCTAAAGGAATTTAAGTGACACATGATTTAATGCAATGAAGGAAAACAGTTGCTTTATTGAAAACCTTCAGTCTCTGGGTTGAGCGAATTATCTCTTCTTCCGAGATGTTTTCTTTGTCTTCTAAGTATTTTCTACAACTATTAGCAAAGCAGACCATTGAGTCCCAAGGAGACAAACAAAGCATGTGCCAATTTGAGTTGAAGCCCATCATCTCTTTCCAAGTTTGGAAATTTGACATGTTTCTGATTTCTTGCAGATAATTTTTGAATGTGTTTATTTCATCAAGCGCTTGTATTCAGAGGAAAAGAAAAATAACCCTGAGTACTATGTCCGTGCACACAAGAGAGAAGTGATTTTCTTTCTGTAAGTCGGTTCAGCCATGTTCTGTGATTTGTCAGCACTGCAGAGGGTCATCCAGTTTAGATAGAACTGGATGTTTCCAGGGAACAGAATGGGATGTCACCAGCCGTTGAGGAATGACTCCTTTTCCTTTGAATTAAAATTAAACCTGCACTCCTAAGTGTGAATCTGGTCAGGAGCAAGGAAGTATCGTATTTTAGATGAGAAACTTATCTCCTCATAGTTTATGGCCTCCAGAGATTTTATGGGACTGTTCTCAAATAAATGGTATTCCCTTGCTTGAACTGCTTTGGGATTAGACATTGTAGATGTTCTGTAAGGCTCTGTTTTGCTTTTCATATTAATTTGTGTTCTGTGCTTGTCTGAAAAATGGAATAAGTTTTGCTATGCTTCTTATTTCCTATAATGCATTACTATGTTCTGCTTCCAACTACAGAAACTTTTCTGTTCCTTTGGGCCTTTTCTGGTCCTTTGGATGCTAATATATGACATGTATATCTGCTCCAGAGCCTTACCCATGCAAATAGCTTATGAAGGTTGAGGCTGTTCCAACCAAACATGATTAAAAGTCATAGAAATCGAGTTGGAAAAAGCTATTAGGTCACGTAGTTCCCACACCCCCCCAGGACCAGTACAGGTTTGTTTCCAATGGTACATTTTTGGTGCTTTCCAGAAGGGGTCAGTGCAGGTCAGTGTTCACTTTGCATCCAAGAGCCTGCCTCCCTTCCCCCTTCTTGAAAAATTGGGAAACCTGAATCTGGTGACTAGTAGGTTGTAAAATGTCTCGAATTTATATTATAGCTTGTAATTTGATGTTGGGTGATCAAAAAGCAGAAGAAATGTGTTCAAGAGTAACAATCATCTAAGATTTTAAATGAGGAAATTTAGTAAGCTCTTCAAAATGACTTGTTAGCTATGTTCATGTATTAATGCTACAGATCCTGAGAACTGTTCTAGACATACTCCTTTGTAGCAAGAAGGATACAGATTCACAGGTTTATCCTGTTGGCTAGTCCATACTTAGCATATTACAGTAATATTTTACAGTTACATAAAGAATTGTCTAGATAATTCAAATGAAATTTACGATTGTAAAAAAACAGAAATGACAAAGCCCCTCTTAAGTCTGAATAAGGGAAAAGAGTAGCAATCATGTTGCACCAAAAATGCAGTTCATCCTACTCAACCACTGTGATATAGAAACCTTTCTGAAGATTGTGCAGTGTCACAAGTCTGTTAGGGGGCAGAGGCTCCTGCAGGGTTTATCTCACAAATGTCAATCAGGTGTTACGGACAAGAGTGGCCACATGCTCATCAGCAGGAAAGGTCTGCCTGTTCCACACAACAGCGCACCCCAAATGCCTGTGTTCATGAAGAAGTGACAACCTGTTTCTGAAACAGACTTTAGAGGGTGGAGGAGAATGATATTGGGACAGGAATTAATAATTTGAAGTGTGGAGGGGGATGAAAAGGTGGCTGGAGGTGGTAAGAAGGAAATGCTGCAAAGAGCAGGAGGAGATGGAACTCTGGTAGAAGAATGAGCAACTCACTTGAAAATAACTTGTTTATATTTTTAAGGTTTTCTTATTTTCCCAGTGGATATGGCTATTTTTCAAAGTAAAATAACTAAATAGTAATTTCATTACGTTTCCTTCCAAGATTTGAAGCTAAGTGTAAACAAGAAAAATCCAGTGGGAAAATTAATCCAACTTCCTTTTTGAAGAGCACTTCACTTCTGTTTCTCCCCCCACCCCTCTCCTTATATATTTTCACTGCTACTGTTCTTATACCCATTTTCTGTGGCCTTGCTGACACCAGCTGAAATACTTCAGTAATGGCATTTGTTAGAGGGAGAAACCTTTAGCATCAGTGAAGATCACTTCTGATACAGAAATGATAAGTTCTGAGATTTTCAGTGTTTTAAAAATATTAATGACTTTTGACATTTTGGGAATGTTCCATATGAGCAAGTCAAAATGATGGAAAACAACTGAGCCACTTGCACTGAGATTTGATCTCTGGCAATTAATATTTGGGCTGCATGGGAGAATCATAAGGAACAAAAACTCTATAACAACACCATGGCAATCAGACCGGCAAACTTCCAAAGCTTTCATTTTGCCAGATGTTAAGTGCCTTTTTTTTTCCTAACCCAGGTGAAGGGGGGACTTCAGAACAACAGGCAATGAATAACATTGAATTTGTAAGGGATGGTTGGCATAAAGACCACTACATTGTTGAATGTTCAGATATTGGTGTGCTGAAATACAAGCAGTGTTAATTTGCATTAAATGAAGTCAGAGGGTTTATCTGGGACATTAAGTGATGTTTTATATGTTTTAAAATATGTTTATATGTTTTTACAGTAAAAATGTTGTGTGTTCAAATGTTTCCAGGCTGCATTGTGATGAATGCTGAGTTTGCCTTCAAGAGCAGACGTGCTTGTAAATGGCAAGGATAAGCAGGAGGAGACCTGGAGTCCTCTGGTTCATTCACATGAGGAGAGCCCTGGGGTGGTCTTTCACTGGAGAGTCACGAAAGCCTGCAACCAGCTGTCTGCATCCGTGTTTTGTGCTGTTGGCTGCAGCACGTACAGCCTTGACTCAGTTTCTCTCATGTTGCCACCAAAGCCTGAGGTTTACCAGAGAGGCCTTGAGACAGCATAGGCAAAACCAGTGATGCCCGGTTCTTCCTTCTGGCAAACTGACGTGTCGCTGTAGAAACTGCTTCATTGAGTATTTAGTGT